CATTCACTGCAATACAGACTCTGCTCTCATTGAACGCTATGTTAAACATTGATTGCATTCTATGGCAAAGAATTTTCAAAACTTTTAAGAATATACTGTAATTGTATTATAATTTTACCCATTTATAGACTATTATTGTGGGCTTATATTATGATATTTAATGTAATTTATTATATATTTTCTTAGAAAAATAAATGTATTTATGATTTTGGTCAAACAAATAAATGATCATGGTCAATAAAGCTATAATTTTGTGGAAATTACATGTAACTTATTTTTTGCAAAATATCTATGTCAGTTGACTAACTTATAATATAATGACTAACTTATTATGACCTAATATTATGCTAGATATTGATAAATGATCACTAATAATAGAAATCATTGCCTTGGTGTTACAGTATTGGATTCAATGGAAATGTTGAAACTCATTCAATTAGTTCATAATTAATGATAACTCATAAAATTACATTTTATATAATTACAATTCAATACAGTATGAATGGCATCATGGTAAATACATTTCAATGAACAACTATATTCTTCTAATTGAATGCATGCACAATGTATTGTATTGTACTGTACAGTGCAATGCCATATATTGAATCATTAGTCAAATGATAGCTATTAATCACGAAAAGTAGGAAAATGAATAGAAATCTAAAAGTTTATATTTCTTGATGGGCTTATCATAGCAATGCAAACACACCATATGATAGGTTCATGTATTAATAGGTCGTCAACTGTACTGTACTTTGAATTCACTTTAAATAGACTAATGAATTGAGTCAATAAGGATACAGTGATACATACAGGTGTTCAATAGGCTAATGATTGGCCGATTGTATGCCAGAGTCAGTGGCTATCAATTGAATGCCAATTAAATGCGAGCCAAACGTCAACTCAAATAAAGCGCCCAAAAGTGTAAAGTGTTGGACAGAGGGATGCACTGAACGCATGCGCTATCCTTCATATCCGACTCTCAATCACTTCCTTTGCATTTGTGTCTCAAACGTGACTCCAGTTATGGTAAGCGATCGCACTTTCAATGATAATTTGCCGCAATCTAGTCATCAATTAAATTATTTCCTCAATTTAATTAACAATTTAAATATATAATGAATGCATTGAACTGACGACACGTTTTGTATTGGCAATGAATAGCCGACTAAACACGTGGTGGAGATCGGGAGGGTAGCGGTGGTGCACTTCGGGCCGTTCGCCGGCAAGACGGCGGCCATCGTGGACGTGATCGACCAGAACAGGGCTCTTATCGACGGACCCGTGACTGGCGTCGCCCGACAGGCCATTCAGTTCAAGCGCTTACGTCTCACGCAGTTCCGCATCCGTATCCCAAACGGCACGTCATCGGCAGTGGTGGCCAAAGCCTGGAAAAAGGACGATATCACCACTAAGTGGACGCAAACACAACAGGCCAAGAGGTTGGCGGCCACGCAAGTGGTAAGCACTGCACTCGCGAGTTGTCTTAAGCCGCTTACCATTAAACTGATGAACAAAGTTCGATAGGAATTGCCGTCTGAACGTTTATTGTTGATAACCCCAGCTCTCTGACCACCCGTCCCTCTAATCACTATCACTGCTAATTGTATGCATTTATTAATTGATTGTCTTTTGTCTGTATTTGTGTCCAGAAGCGACAGATGACTGATTTCGATCGATTCAAACTCTACAAATTGAAACAAAGGGTGAGTACAGCGTGTGATTAGCCACGTGTTGGACTCATGTAGTGATGTGTTAAATGCAATTACAGGTCAATCGTGCCGTCAATCGTAAGTTCGTAGTCCTTAAGGCCAAGGCTTCAAAAGATTTGAAGGAAAAGCGCCAGAAATTGGAGAAAAAGGAGAAGAAGCCGAAGAAGAAAACGACAAAAAAGCCCAAAACAGTTAAGAAGTGATAAACTGTTGTTTGTATTGGATATAAATTAAAACAAATAAAAGATTTTGATTAAAACATTGACTTTTTTACTGTTGAGAGAAATCTCAATCATTGATAAGCATTGGATTAAGTGCTGGTTTAGAGGTTGAATATAACATGTGTTGAGAATTAGTTGAATATATGTATGGTTTACTGGACAGTAGAGCTTTGCAAAGCAGTGGTCAATAGATACTGTATTCGTGAATATATTTTGAATTGAACTGCAAATAGTGAATTTGTGGTCAATTGGGAATCGCACCGGTAGACAATGAATAGCTAAACCAAATGCGATATCTTATGCTTAGATGTTGACTGCAAATGAGCACCTTTTCATGTGGTGAGCATTACTGCGTGCATGAGATAAAAGGCACTCATATGTTCAATTGAGATAGCAGAATTGTAATCATATAAAGTAGCATGCAAATTTATGAATGCGCTAAACCCTAAATATTGACAATCAATCGGTAATTATAATTGAATGAAATAATGATCGGTATATAAGACAAATCCAATGCAATGGCAGTCTGTGGACGGATTGCTTTGTTCTCATTTGTCTCATCCCTCACATCAT